AAAAAAAATTAATGACACAAAATTGGAATACCTCACTTATTATTTGAGAATTGAAGAAACAGCACACACATGCAAAACAGAATCATCAGAAATGGTCTTGGTTTTGCAATAAGTAACCGAAAAAAACAGAAAAACCAATCAACAAAACCAGTCTTTTCAACATCTTCCGAAAAAATTACCTTTAATAGAATATGTTTATCAAAAGTTCTTAATGTACTTGTACTATATAAAGCATAATATCTGTTACAAATTACATTTTCATAGAAAAGTGTAAATATGAGCTCATTCTCACTTGTCAACATTGAGATTCACCATCTAGTCTAAACTATACAATCAACACACGAGAAAATAATAAACTCTGAAGCATTGACATCTGAGAAAAAACCAATCGACAAAAACCAGTCTTTCAACATCTTCCCAAAAAATTACCCTTAAAAGAGTATGTTCGTCAAAAGTTCTTATTGTACTTGTACATATATAAAGATTAATACCTGTTACAGATTACATTTTCATAGAAAAGCGTAAATGTGAGCTCATTCTCACTTGTTCAACATTGAGATTCACCATCTAGTCTAAACTATCCAATCAACATACAAAAAAATAATAAACTCTGAAGCGTCGACATCTGAGAAACAAAATGACAAACAAAGAAGAGATAAATTAGTCCCAATACTATTGCAGTACAACAACAAAAGCAGAGACGAAAAGAGCCCAACATCAGCACCAATACGGTCAAGAGACACAGTTTTGAGCTGAATCACAGTACATGTTTTCTTCGGACAATTTACAATCGGTGGACAATGGGACCAATTCTTAGCGACCAAATAATAAACCTCAAACAGATCGCAAATCCTAGGTTAAACAAACATCTAAAGAAACCCAATAACAAAGACAACATCTTTTTGTATTCTAAACAAAAATATCACCACCATAAAAAATCAAAAAAGCCCATAATCGAATAATTTGAAAAATTTTTACCAATTCACTACCAAATATAGTCCGATCAGCTCGTATGAAACAAACCCACGGAGAAATAATATGAAATTCGCCAAATATGAGGAAAAATAAAAAAGCCCAAGCACAGAAATGTATGCACGGATATGAATAGCAGCATGTGCCCTCTGCATTTAGGAAAAAGACTTGCCTTTTGTTGTTCGATGGAAAACATAGATAGTCCCGTCGGAGATGACGGCGGAAAGCGGCGATCGGGTGGTGGGTGGGGGTGGTTCGGAGGAGAAAGGGATTATATGAGATGAGCTGCAAACGGAGGACTGGCTTCTTGTGCTCCTCCTCCTTTTTTTCTTTTTTTTCCTCTTATTTTCCTTTATTTTATTCTTTAACTTTTTTCAACCATTTTTTTCTTTTCCTTTTTTCTCATATATGGTTGTTTAGCTTTAAATTATGGTGGATTTAGATTATATTTAGATATTTCTTTTGACTCTAGATTCTACATAGGCATTTAAATCAAGGGGATTTGTATAGTTAATTTTAACTCTAGTTTGATATATGATTTTTATTAAAGAATTAATTATTTGACAAAAAATAGAATAAGGATGTTTTATTTATAGCTCCGAAAACTGTACGATGATCGAAGGCCAAGGCCCATACAACCCAACAAGTGAGAATGAAGAAGCCCCCGCTTCTTGACTACCAACAAGGGATAGTGAAAATCTCACGACTATCTAGACTTGAAAGTCTGAACAACAACCCAAAAATAGCTAGCCACTAAATCTAAACGGACCTAGCTAGCTATCAAAACCTAACAACCAAAACCTGCACAAAAACAATAAGAACTAGAAGACTACAACAAATACTATAAATTCTAAAGAAAGGATAAATAGCAGTCCCCTAACATCTCCCAACCACAAAATCATAATAACACACAAGGAGTTTAGATTCCTGCCAATCAGACAAAGCTAGATTAATAGTGTCTAGCTCTGATCTATGAACTTGTTGGAACACCCAAAGGTTCCTCGTCTTCCACATCCACCATAGAATGTAAATGGTGAGTTGTACTCTGTCTTCAGTGATATAATCTTTATGTATACCACAGAGTTTGATCCACCGGTGCTTGAATGAAGTGATGTGTGCCTGAAGACCATCCCATGCGACAGGAGCAAGCTTCCAAATTAATTGAGCTCTGCTACAGTGAAAGAACAAATGCTCATGGTTTTCCTCTAAGTCTCCACAGGATTTATATCTCTGGTCCAGAGAGATCCCTCTCTGTTTGAGATTGGTCAGAACAGGAAGAATGTTGTGAGTACATTTCTAAAGGAAATGCCTCAGCTTCCTCTTGATTTTCAGGTTCCATGTTCTTTTCCTAGCAACCCTCATCTCTTTGTGGTTTTGGCTTGACTCTGCAATATCCATTCTCTTCCATTATGATTCAATAAGTTTTCTGTATGTGGAGGCAACTGTGAAAGATCCTTTAGAGTTCCATTTCCAGACTGGGGAGTCAAGCTTTGTGGAATCCAAATTCTTGATGTTAAGGATTGTTGCAGCCTCATTAGGAGTAATCTTCTGCCAAATTCATCTATGAGATCCTTGACCTATGTGAGTGATGGATTTCTAGGTTTCTTTCTTGAGAGAGTCTGTCCCTTCAAAGCAGGTACCCAAGGTTGTTCCCATAATCTTATCAACTGCCCATTTCCAATCTTTCAGGACAATCCTCTGAAGAATTCTTCTTTCACCTTCCACCAACTTACCCATAACCATGATCAGTTCTGCTTTTTTTTTTTTTTTAGCTTTATATAATCCCATATCTGGAAAATATCTGCCTTTAAGAATTTTGCTAACAAGAAGCTGAGGCTGGGACTGAATTCTCCAAAGTTGCTTCCGAATTTATGCCTTGTTGAAGATGTGCATGTCCTGGAACCTCACACCTCCCATCTGAGTTGGTAATGCTGTCAACTTTCATAACTTCCAATGGATACTCTTGGAGCCTTCTTTGCTTGATTGCCACCAGAAGTTAGCCATATGAGATGACAGTTTCTTAGTCACTGACAAGGGTAGAATGAAGCATAACATTGTGTATGTTGGTAAGGCCCCAATTACAGATTTCAAAAGCACCTCTTTACCTGCAAGAGAAAGTTTATTGTTTTTTCCAGTTTGAAATTCTAATACATACAACCTCCTCAACAAAAAACAAAAGTATTGTTCTTGGAGACACCAATGCCAAGGGGTAGGCCTAAATATTTAAAGGATGTCTGGAGAGTAATGCTCAGAAGTGTTCTACAAATTTGGTTTTGGAGAGCGGTTGGGATATTTTTACTGAAAAAAAAAAAATGGAGGGGGAAAATATGAAACGGTTCATAAGCATTTGGAATGAACTCTATCTACTCTCGATCGAGTCGTGCCCACTCGATCAGAGTGGGGGGGGACTAGATCATGTGGGATATTACACCCTTGGTTCTTAGATCGACATGCTAGTCTAGTGAAGGCACGTGGCTTAATGATCGAACAGATGAATTAGTTGAGCAGAAGCAGATGAATTAGTCGATAGAATAGTGAGACATTACACTAAACTGTGAAGTTGGGTGTAGCAATCCCTAATATTTTGGGAACGTGGCCAGAGCGGTTAAAACGTGGGTCAAACCACTATCCATTTACACATATATATGGAGGTAACAGATTTTAGGGGATTCATTCGATTTACAATTTTTCTAGCCTAAATCTTCAAAAAAAAAAAAAAAAACTAACTTAGGCATCGGAGGGCCGAGCTGGAGATATCTTCTCTCCGGTATTGGCTTTTTTGTAAGTACTCAAAGCGATTAACCGGTCTGAAGGGCAAGGTCTCAAGGAATCTAGCCGGTTCGAGGTAAGAATTTCATACCATTTTGGCGCCGTCTGTGGGGACTCAGAACAAAAAGCTTTTGCTCTATGACACTAGAGTTATGACGAACGGAATCCCTAGGAAAAATTTGCAATCATCATTTGACAATGCATGGGCAGAAACAAGGCCAATAAGGGAAGGCCCACCCCCAGGCTTTGCTGGGACATCACAAACACCGGGGAGTCGGCCAACTGTAACCCAGGGTGGAGATAATTCGGCAATTGTAACCCAGGGTGGAGGGAATCCGGCGACTGTAACCCAGGGCGGAGGGAATCCAGCGACTGTAACCCAGGGTGGAAGAAATTCGGTAACCGCAACCCAAGGTGAAGGGGATCCAATGGTGCTTCCAGTGAACAGGGAGCAAGCGACCACCCAACCCGAGGGCCTTAGTCATGGTGGGTTTGGTCTTCACACTTGCCCACCCGCGAGGAATGTTCCAAACAGGAGGCCACCCAGCCCGAGGGTGTGAGTAATCGACCAACCTGCCCACCCCAAGTGATGTTCCAAACAAGCGACCACCCAGCCCGAGGGCCTTAGTCATGGTGGGTTTTGGTCTTCACACTTGCCCACTCGCGAGGAATGTTCCAAACAGGAGGCCACCCAGCCCGAGGGCATAAGTAATCGACCAATCTGCCCACCCCAAGAGATGTTCCAAACAAGCGACCACCCAGC